GCTATCTATAGAGGCGTGTTGTCAAGTCGGATCAAATTGACGGTGTTTTGGAGAAATAGTGTTTCGATCTTTGTTATTTGACGTGAAATGTCCTTACTAGGCGTGCTGAACGTTTATTAAAGTTTGAAAACACTATCGTTGCGCTGCTGCCTGCTTTCAATAAACATGTTGGAAAATAATTCTACATCTTTGCAATCCAATAATTGACGGAGGGTGCTGCTCGCCGATGAATTAACCACCAAATTCCGCAGTCAAATTAGTAAAGAAATCACAACACGCCCCTCCATATCTATCAACCAAATTTATCATATACTCAGATGTTAATCAACTGAACACAAAAAATAAGCATCTCTTGGTTCTCCCGAGACATTCAACATCTCTATTTAAAAGGTCGTACATATACAGTAATGGACAAAAGTATGTAGACAAATTAATATTGTGCTGTATTTATTTTTTAACTTGTTTTATTAATACACCAACCTGCATACATAATTCGTTATAGCATAATACTCACTTATATATAAATAATTTCATTAGACTACCTTCAACAAAAAATTAATTGAAAAAAACTGGAACTATGAAGGACAAAAATATATAGACAAAGCAAAATAGTTATGGAAAAAAGAAGCAAAGTTCATTGAATTATAGAAAACTAACCATGTTTGTGTTAATATTTTGTAGCATAACCATTATTATCAACCACCGACTGGCATCGTCTCGGCATAGATTATATAAGTTTCTTGATATACTATAAGATTCATCAATCTGTCTCCACTTTTGCTCTAAAGCGGCAAAATGTTCATCCTTGTTTGAATAATTTTTATCTCGTATATGCTTATCTAAGTATTCCCATAGATTTTCAATGTGGTTTATATCGGGAGACTGTAAAGGCCATTTGAGAACTGGTATTTTTTCATCCAGAAAGAATTTCTTTGCGAGATATGAAATGTGCATCCATAATACCATCTATTCTATGTAAAGGTCCCATCCCAAACCCCGAAAAGGACCCCCAAACCATAACAGACCCGCCTCCATGTTTGACAGTGTACTTGGGGTTCAATCTTTGACCACTAGGACGTCTAACGTAGTGAACACCATATGATCCAAACATATTGAACTTGGATTCGTCACTGAAACATACCCTCTTCCATTCACAGATACTCCAATCAAGATGCAACCGTGCAAATTGTAATCGGTCCTTACGGTTTTTCCTCGAGATTAGCGGCTTCGTACTCGGGCGACGTGCAAATAACTTCAAATCATTTGATCTTCTACTTATAGTTTTCGTAGAAACACTGACAATTAATTTTGTCTCGATTTCGGCTTTTATTTGTCTTGGGGTTTTAAACAGATCTTTGGACGAAATTACTTTTATCAATCTAACTGATCTGCATTTAGTTTTCTAGGCCTACCACTTCTATTAGAGGCTTCCAAGATACCTTTTTGTTTATATTTGTTCAATATTGCCCAAACTGCTTTACGCTTCAGCTTCAGTTTTTTGGCAATGTCGACTTGACGTTGACCATCATTGTCTTAAAATCACTCAACTTATTCCACAATACCTGATGAACACAAACTAATCCTCTTCTGACACGAAACTATACTAAACTAATGTTAAAAAGAATTTGCCTACATATTTTTGTCCCTCATAAAAAAATGCTTATATTCAGACTTGTATTGTGTTCATTGCAGATAATGTAAAAACAAGGAATTTAGTTTTTCTACTAATAACGCATTTGTTTATGGAGCAATGAAGTATGAATTCGTTTTCGAAAGGTATTTAGGTAAATATTCATATTTGTCTATATACTTTTTATTACTGTATACTGTTATCAAGCTATATATACAACGCGTAGCCTACCGAGTTCACTGATTACTCTATAAAGAATTTCAAAAAAAGATTGAAGCACTTTATCTCTGATTTCATTGCCCAGTAAGTAGACCATGGCCATGAATAGGGACTCGTTACAGGTTTTTTCTTTTTTGTTTTCATTGAGAATAGAAAATGTACACAAATATTTGTTGGGTTATGTTGAAAAACCCTTTTTAGCGATACTTCGCCTTTGTATAAATAAAGCCGGATTATTATTATTAAATACCTCTTACGGCATTTGTCATAAAAATGATATCCTTGTTTGTGAGAGGCATTTTTGCATCGTTCACGTCAGGTGCCGATGATTAGTACCACTACTATACCCTCTACAGCCATTTTGGAAATTTGAAACGGAATATTTTTTCCTGGCACGATTCATATTCTCATAGAGTAACGCTTTTCACACGTTTTCACAAAAGAATTTGTACACTTACAATGTATCGAAAACATTTTGCTATACTTCTTACCGTCAAAAAGAAGGCATGTTTTTCGAATGGGTACTACATCGAGTGGGCTGGTCCCGTGTCGGTGAGGAAGCGCGTGTTGGATAGTGGGAGAAGTGCCGTTTTAGTTCGCAATATGGTTTGGAACGTTGAGCATCGTGTGTTCACTGTACGTCGGTACTTTCAAATTGGCGAGTCTGTCGTGAGTTTTGCGTTCACTTTCGTGTTCCACGTCGTCGGAGAGTACCAGACCGTAACACCATGTTGAGATGGGTGGAAGCATTCAACACAACAGGTAATGTTCGTTTGGGTGCCAGTTCCCTAGGGATCCACGCGTCCTCGGTACGTCGCATTTTGAAGATGGATTTAGTGTTCCACCCTTACAAAATCCAAGTTTGTCAACAACTGTTGCCAGGGGATTATGCACAACGTGTTAATTTTGCACAACTCATGATTAAACAGTTGGATAACAATGACATGACGTTGTGTATGAGTGATGAAGTACATTTTCATTTCCATGGATACGTCAATAAACAACATTGTCGTTATTGGTTTCCAGTGAACCCCCAACAGTTGCATGAGCACCCCCTGCATACCCCGAAAGTTACAGTTGGGTGTGTAGTAGACCCAACACATGCTGAACAACTTTTTTTTCCGGAATTTCGACGTCGACGTGTCCGTCTCAGAACAGTGTGGTTCCAACAACATCTCACACAGCTCGCACTTCGATGGAACTTCGGCAAAAATTCCCAGGACGTCTCATTTCACGTCATGGCGATATTCGATGGCCCCCTCGCTCCCCGGACCTGTCAACGTGTGATTGTTTTTAAGGGGCTATCTGAAATCAAAAGTTTACCAAAGCAAGCCTCGGACCCTCGTCGATTTGAAGGAGGAAATAAGACGAGAAGTAACCCAAATTCCTGCACGGATGCTGGTCGTCGCAATGGGCTCATTTCGGGAGAGGCTTGATTCCTGCATTTAGGCTCAAGGGCGCCATATGGCCGACACCATACTTATTTTGACTGTACTACTCATTTAAAAAACGTTTTTTCTGACGGACCCTGTAGACAGCGCACGTATTTATAACTTAATGTGTGTATAAATCCTCATGTTTTTCTGTGCACGTTTTATATGTGATAGCAACATCTTTCCAATCCAAGGATTGGGATCATCTTCAGTACTCCCCATGAACAAGTATCTGAAGTATTTACTTCCTATCAGTATTTTGGTGACCTCAATTCTGCGAAAATTTGATTTGTGATTAGATTGTCTGACAAATTGATAAAAAAATTTCAAACATAATCGGTAAAACACTGTATTTATGACACCTGATAAATATGTATCTGAGACCTTTGTATTACTTTGTGCGTAGCCTGTAAAATTGCAGTGTATTTTGACACGTATTTGGTTCAAAATTAACCTTCGGATAGTGAATATTTCTGTGATAATATTTGTTGGAGATGGTTGTTTTTGTGAAGTAGGAATTCGCATTGCAAATAAAAAAAAAACAAATATCTCTGGATTCTTCCGCATATTTCGGTCGTTTCGGTAAGAGCATGTAAGCAAAAATGTCTATTAATATCACCCTGTCACGATCTTTTTACAAAATTAGCAGTTTGAATTAATTATGTTCTATCATACCACAAATTGTGGGATCCGGGGCATAGTGTTTTCTGGACAAAATACACATGAAAAATAAGTGTGAATAATTTCATCAAAGTCTAATGGTCTTCCATCTCATTTTCTCTACATTGCTCTTCTCGTTGCTTACCTTCTTTCTCTCCCTCTTTGTTCCTTAACTTTGTCTGACATTTAGTTTCTAGGTTACCACACCCAACAAACTTACGGAGTCCTGTGACGCAATGAGGCTTAACAACGCTATCATCGGTTCATAAAGGATCAAGTTCGGGTCAAGTTAGATCCTCTGAGAAAAAAGTTAGCCCCAAATATCTATAGCAGAGAAATTGAACCGATCAAGTCAGTCAAACAAGCCCATACAATTAATCGGTAGACGTTTTCCACCTCCCAAATAGCAACGTCGTCACTTCTCCATACCTCACCGCTCGATATATCACTCCATTAATACACTCGCCAGACGCGGCAGTACGGCAGTGATGCCATGACATGCCTGTGTGAATTGTGTCTGATAGGTGCATAGAATTGTCAGGACCGGAAGTTTATAAGTATACTAACATAAAAAAATTTTAAATCTTACATTTTTTCTAGAAATGGTCAGGTGCCTCTGGAACGTCAAAAAAACCCAGTATGTCTGCTTTTTATTTTTTTCGTCTTTTGTCCCAACTGCGCCGCCACTGGATCGATTGTCAAAAACAAATAATGTCCGATTATAAATCTGTGCCTTAGAGTAAATAACTCCATTTTTGCAGTTTTTGTGATTGTCTGCGTATAATTAGTATCCCTGGTTAATCTTTACGTGGAGTAAATGATCGTAGCGCCTAACCACTATAATCATGAAATATATGAAATAGAACAATCAGCTACTGATTTTTTGTTAGAGGTAAACAGTCGCTTCTCCATACATACGCACAATACTATCATATGAATCATCGCTACGCAGCGGAAAACAGTCGTGTCTCCGTCACGCACCGCTTGCTTTACAAACTGTGTTGTTCAATCATTCTTCAAAGTTGATCAAGGTACTGAAGTAACCAAAAACGGTAATAATGTCCTCAAAGGCTCAAAAATTAGTGCAGCTTGCACTGGAGGAGGAAATCGATTCTCGAGGATCTAGTAAGTACAACATAATTGATATTATATTATGATGATTGTAAACTACTTTTACATATTACAAATAATAAGTCCTTCATTAAAGTGTATCATTCACAAGTTTCTTTTACGTGGACACACACTTGGAAGCTGATCATATCCATGCACTTATCGAACGAGTTATAAATAAACATCCAACCATGAAAATATGTACGCCATGGGACTGGCAGCAACTTATAAGATCAACCGGAGCCACAGTTTTCGAGATGCTGTTAGATCACTTCAAGAACTTCGAGGCCTTATATTCCGACACAGGATCACCTCTCATTCAAAAGAAACAGACAGTAGACAAAGGAAGCTTTTTAGTGTCATCAGCGATGTGACTTGAGGTTCAAAAACAGGATCCAGGGATACCCTACTATAAAACAGTCATATTCCAAGGGGACTACAAAATGGTAAACATGAATAGATCCTCTAGAAAACCGATGGGGTTACCAGTAGAACTGTGTTCGCCGCGTCAAACCCCAAAAGGACTTACCAAGAAAAAGCACGATCATCTTCTCATGCTTGTGCAATGGATACTAGAAGCATTTCATGTTTTTTATAAAAATGTTCCTGTGCTGGGTCAACAAGGAGATGATGACATCGACGACGATTGTATATATATTCTCCAGATGTCATTTTGTGTTTCATCCTATGCTGCACCTAGATTTTATCATCATAGTAAATAGTCGTAACTCACCAAATAATCTGAATATCAAATTCTAAGATCATTAATATGAAGCATTACTGTTCTGTGTACGATATAATATGTTTTCCCAAAAAACTATATTCGCATATTAACATTAACATGAACAAAAAGCCATTCTGCTACTAACTCAATCATTAATTTGCTTGTTTGAATTGCATCATATGGAGTTACAACTATGTGCCTCTAAGGCACAGATATATTTTATTCTTCCCCACATCCCCACAATCGGCCATCGGGCAGCTCTTAGCGTCAAAGCAGGTACTGTTTACTTGATGTCGATCTCAGACAGAATAATGGGTCGTTAATTATTTCAAATTTTTAGCACACTATTCTTTAAATTTCCAGTTATTACCTGGATTATAAGCTTCTTAACAATAGATCGTCTTTCACTGATATAAAAATTTTTCTGAAAATGATCAGGAGCTTCTGGAACGTGAAAAATATAACTTTGACCGATGTTTATTCTTTTCGTATTTTTTTGTCCGTAGCTTCCCCGTCACTGGATCGATTATCAATAACTTTTTCTTCCTTGGCCAAGGAGCTGCGGACAGACCGACAAACAAACAAATAGACAGATCGACAGACAAACAAACAGTCTGAAAGACAGTCACACAGACTGACGGAAATGTGTGTCGTACTTTTTCACCAGTGGCGTCTTGTCGATAGAACGATTTGCGATGCACCTAGGCGCGCTTGCTTTTTCATTAAGCGAAGTGACCGATTTATCTCCGGCTTCTCGTCCAATTAATCGTTACAAAAGAACAGCATCCACTTATTCACCTGCCGTATCCATTATCTTGGCAACAACTCCGCTCAAAGTGCAACAACCAACAAGACTGCCGGTGCAGAGCTGATGCACGAGAGCGCTCTTCTCTCTTTCAAACGCACCAGCTACTAATAAAAAATACAAGAATCGCATTCCAGTTGCGCAGGCATTACGGATCTTTGTTTTTTCTTGTGCTCGGTACGTTTTAGCAGAAGAGCCCGCATGAAAATTCGGCGCCAAAGATAAAGATGATGCACTGTTCTCTCTTCCAAACAGTAAAATATGCTATACACAAATTTCCAAATTTGATGATGGAAACGAGGGTCATAAAAATATCTTATGCCGTCAAAATAAGAGGAAACAGTTAGGTAGTTTTTGCAAAGCAATAAACAGGTAGGCTTATACCTGGATTAAGTACATGTCTTGTCTACTGTAATAGGTAGATGGAGGTGATGCTGCCAGAAATGGATGTGTGCGATCTATAAACAAACCACAAGATTGAACTGCCGTGTCCCATGATTTTTGTATTGCCTTTTTTTATTGTCTTACTAGAAAACTCTGTGGGTATATGACGGTGATTACTAGAACTTTACAGCTTGCTGTCTGCCTTCTTCTACAAACTTCACCAAATCGAGACGCTGTTAACCTCATCATCCGATGAAGACGCCACACAGTACAGTCCTGTGATTTGGTGACTTGTTCGATCTGCAAAATCTCGTCGTCACTTTTTCTAAGTTTCCCTAAAAATTCTTGCTTAGCCACCTCCAAATCAATGTCGTTCATGTCAGGTTTTTGACAGAATTCGCCATAAAACTATTCATTTTCTTTGGAATTGCTATCCGAATTGTTAGTTATTTTTATATCAGCTTTTTTTGGTCTAAGTTTCTTTTCAAGTTCTTGCGTTTGAGTCTTTGTTCCATCTTAGTGATAAGCGAGGTTGGACTAAGCTTAGAACGGAAATTTACGTATATTTGGACCACATAGACAGGCCCCTCGGTATTGTGGCTCACTACAGCTGCAGCACATCTTCCATGGTATGACCTATTCTTGCAATAATTTATTCCCTTACCCCAATGTATTTTGCGAATATAGAGTTGAACTGCTCCACACTATTGTTGTCCTCATCATGAATTAAACTCACTGCAATCGTAATTAAAATTGTCGCATATGACCTTTTATTGTCCATTATCAACCTTGATAAAAAAGGCACTCAAGAACAGTCACACCAACAAGAGTACAGCACAACAATTCAACAACACAATATCGACGAACAGTACCAAGGGTAGAACAATACTAAATGATCACACCAAAATAGGAAACGATTTACAGGCTGGATCGCTAATCGAAATCCGACTCTGTTATTATAAAAATTTACCTCGGTACGCACCCGCAGTCATTCTTTCCTCTTTTAAAGTAGCGCCGACGAGCGTCTAAGGCCAGCCTTCCTTTTCAGCCCCCCGTTACCTCAGCAGATGGTGCTCGTGATTGTAGGAGCCCCGTAACATAGTGCTGTGTACCAGATTTGGCACCTTGAAAAAATTTGCTAATTTTCGTTCGTTTGTTGTTATAAATTAAGATTAGAAGCCCGTAAATATATTAACGCTAAAAAATTATTGTATACCCTCCCCCACCACTGGTAATTGTATTCACCCATTAACCATATTTCATACATCATAGACTTCCCTTTATATTAAAAATATATATACTCGGACCGCGCACGAAATGAACAATAACCTGGGCGTTGTCGCGCGGATGTGAAAAGGGACAACGTTGCCAGATGGACAGTAACTACGGGTAGGTCAGAAAAAGAATGTCTATGGACTAATTGTATGGGCCTGTTTGACTGACTTAATCCATTTAATTTCAATGTTGTACATGTTCGTAACTGTATTTTTGCTCAAAGGATTTAAATCGCACTGAACTTAAGCCTTTAAGAACTGGTGGTAGCGTTACATAGGAAGTGCAGGGTCAACATGGTTGCCACCTTTTTTGCCCGTAGCTAAGCCTCCACTAAATCCATTTTCAAAAACTATAACGCTTTTTCGTGCTTGACATGTTAGTAACCTCGTGTCAAAATATCATTAAAGACAGACCATCGGGAATGGGTGACATAGTTTTTCATTACGTACATGTCATAACATCCAGAAACATTTAGAAAATTTTTCGCGATAACAATTGGAGTGGGTGACATATAACCTTTTTGAAGACAAAATATTAATATTCGGTCGATTTTTTTTTTAAATACCCTATTGGCTTCGGTCAAATAGGCAAAGACAAATGTAAAACATATACGGAAGGTGCGTATGTATGAAAACAACACCAAAATCTGGTCGTTATTTTTACCGCGCGCTTGCCGTGACACCAGATTGACGGTGCGTTAGCGTTGGTCCGTACGCGTCTTATTCTAGGCTGTCCGTTGTTCGGAAATAGACTCGCGGCATGGAACAGGCGAAGTTAGAGGACCATCATCGGCAGACCTAGTGTGTGTGCGCGTCTGTTTGTGCGGATGCCGAAAATATGCCTGGACGACGTAAACAACTGTACACACAACGCGGTAGCTTGGTTGAGGCCTTTGGCTGAACCTCAGCTTTCCTGCCAGGCATAGTGCGGTCCAATGTGACCACAACACTCTCTATACATTCATGATTTTACTGCTCTCACAGACTTGATTTCATTGGGCAGAATTATTTGTTCAAAGGAAGCGCTTTTTTCTAATGAAGCAGTAGGCAGAAACGACTGTTGCAATAAGGAGCTAAGCATCCTCAGACAGATTGCTCCACAATCTTTATTTATTTATTTATTTATTTCCAACAGGTGAAACCCAATTACACGAAATGCTGAAAAAAAATAACAATTAAAGAGACATGGTTCTTGGACTTAAATCTATAGTATCACACATTCTAAATAAGATTGGATGATCTATAGCAGTTAATAATCGATGCACAACTGTCACTGTAAATATCACACGATTCAGTAACACTGTTCATGACGCAGCACATGAGATTAATTGGCGATTTTGTCATAACATTTGTACTGTCAGCTTGACAATAGAATGCCGTTTGCTGTCGACTCCCTAGCCTTGGAACGCGGAAACATATTTTTTCAAGTAAATTTTGACAGTCAATTTTATTGTGAATGAGGCCATACGAAAACGACAAAGCAAATATGTTTCGTCTTGTTGACAGTGAATCCAAATTGAAAAACTCTAATAGGGCACTATGGTCACAACCTCTTTCTGGATAAGAACCTGTGCATTTAAGGTGAAAATACTTTAAAGCTTTACGTTGAATGGCCTCAAGGATCACGACAGAATTTTGGTATATAGGAGACCAGATCAGAGTCGCATACTCCAACTTGCTCCTGACAAAAGTAAAAAATAAAGTCATTAATGTATCAACATTGGAGAAACCCTTCCAGTTCCTGATACAGAAACCAAGTAGTCGAGTGGCAGCCGACTAGATATTGAGTATATGCTCGGTAAACGTTAGCTTGGTATCAAAAGGGACTCCAAGGTCTCTATAAGAGGTGCATCTGTCTATAACCTGACCATTGATGTTATAATTATCATAAATTAAATAGTTAACCTTTCTTGTATAAGTCATAACTTTACATTTCGAAACATTCAGACTGAGACAGTTTCGTGAACACCATGACGAAATTAGAGCTAGAGAGATGACTTGCAACATGACGCAATCCTCGACTGTCTTGACTGACGTGCAGATTTTAAGGTCATCAGCGAAATACTTCAGTTCAAAAGACAAGTCATTAATAAATAGCAAAAACAATAATGGACCTAGATTTGACCCTTGAGGTACCCCGGAAGTGGCCCGATAGTAACTCGACCTATGACCACCATATTCGACAAATAACCTTCTATCCCTCAAATATGAATTCATGATCTTTCCTGGATGTGCGAAGCTCGGCACCTGCAGGATCTGAGGCCAGTGTCAGGCGGGTCTGTCTGGCAGACACATCGCGCGGCGGCATCATGTAGGAAAGCTCTGAGAAGCAAAACCCGTTGACATAGCGGTAGACGCCTCGTTATTCCGATTTTCGAACTGCCTATGGTTAGCAGAAAAAAACTACAATCTCGAATCCATCACTCGTACAGGTCTCCTCTAAATAGCATCGAGTATGGACGATGTAGTCGGGGCGGCAGCGCCCCAAAAATGTGAGCAGCTCTAGGCCTCATCTGGACCTTGTACAGAGTGAGC